GCCCTGACCTCAACCCCTTTCCTGGGGTCAGCGGCCTCATTGCTCAGCACTGGGAAGATATATGGGATGGAGCTGTGCCCCATAACCGTGGGATGATGCTGTGCCCTATAACCGTGGGATGGAGCTGTGCCCTATAGCTATGGGATGATGCTGTGCCCCATTGGTGTGGGATGGAGCTGTGCCCCATAACTGTGGGATGGAGCTGTGCCCTATAGCTATGGGATGATGCTGTGCCCCATTGGTGTGGGATGATGCTGTGCCCCATTGGTGTGGGATGGAGCTGTGCCCCATAGCCATGGGATGGAGCTGTGCCCCATAACCATGGGATGGAGCTGTGCCCCATAACTGTGGGAAGGAACTGTGCCCCATAGCCATGGGATGGAGCTGTGCCCTATAACTGTGGGATGGTGCTGTGCCCCATAGCTATAGGATGATACTGTGCCCCATTGGTATGGGATGGAGCTGTGCCCTATAACTGTGTGAGGGTGCTGTGCCCCATAGCCATGGGATGGAGCTGTGCCCTATAACTGTGGGATGGAGCTGTGCCCCATAGCCATGGGAAGGAGCTGTGCCCTATAACCGTGGGATGGAGCTGTGCCCCATAGCCATGGGAAGGAACTGTGCCCCATAGCCAGGGAATGGAGCTGTGCCCCATAGCTATGGGATGATGCTGTGCCCCATAGCCATGGGATGGAGCTGTGCCCTATAACTGTAGGATGGGAGCGCCGTGCTCTGCTTGGAGCCCCCCTATAGGGCAAAGCGGGACCCCATCAGCACCCGCACGGGGCGATGCCGAGCGGTTCTATGGGGCGACCCGTGCGCATCCCCACTGCGGGCGCAGCGTGGGTGCAGGATTAGGGGGCACCGGGGGGGGGATGGGGGGCACAAACAGCCCCCGCCCCATTTTGGGGCAACGCCTCCAGGTGCTGCTGCGGACCCCGGACGGCGTCTGCGTGGTAAAAGGGAAACGTGGGTCCTTCCGTCCCTGCGGGGTGACAGGGAGCGGGGCAGGAGGAGGGCGAGGAGGAGCCGAGGGGGTGGGAGGGGGTGTGATGAGCTGGGGAGGTCTGAGCTGCGCTTAAAGGCGGAGTGGGAACCCGCAGCGAGGAGGAGCTGCGGGTGGGTGCGGGTGGGGACCCGACGGGACGCGGCGCATCGCCGTCGGGTCCGGGAAGCAGCGCTGCGCTGTGCGAGGGGCTGCCCTTAAAGCTGCAGGGACGAGCCGAAGTGTGCCGGGACCACCCGAAGTGTGCCGGGACCACCCGAAGTGTGCCGGGATCACCCGAAGTGTGCCGGGACCACCCGAAGTGCCGCCGGGACGAGCCGACGTGTGCCGGGATCGCCCGAAGTGCCGCAGGGGTCGCCCGAAGTGCCGGCGGGACGAGCCGAAGTGTAGCGGGTCGACCCGAAGTGCCGCCGGGATCGCCCGAATTGCCGCCGGGACGAGCCGAAGTGTGCCGGGACGAGCCGAAGTGTGCCGGAACGAGCCGAAGTGTGCCGGGACCGCCCGAAGTGTGCCGGGATCGCACGAAGTGCCGCCGGAACCACCCGAAGTGTGCCGGGATCGCACGAAGTGCCGCCGGAACGACCCGAAGTGCCGCCGGGACGACCCGAAGTGCCGTCGGAACGACCCGAACTGTTACGGGACGACCCGAACTGTGCCGGGCTCGCCCGAAGTGCCACCAGGACGAGCCGAAGCGGCGCCGGGATCGCCCGAAGTGTCGCCGGAACGAGCCGAAGTGCTGCCGGAACCACCCGAAGTGTGCCGGGATCGCCCGAAGTGCCGCCGGGACCGCCCGAAGTGTGCCGGAACGAGCCGAAGTGTGCCGGAACGAGCCGAAGTGCCGGCGGCCGCACGTGGGGACCCGCGGAGCTGCCATGTGGGCCGTGCTGTGTTGGGCGCTGGTGCTGCGGGCGCTGCACGGCGCTGCGGGTGAGTGCGGGGTGAGTCTCGGAGCGGGAGGGGCTGCGGGGCGTCGGGCGGGGGTCTGCGGCGCCCCCCTCTTCCCCTCCGTCCGTCCGTCTGTCCGTCCGTGACGGCGGCGTCCCCGCAGGCGGCCGGCCCTGCAGCCCCAAATTCTTCGGGCGCGACGCCATGGTGTGTGTGTGCAGCGCTGCCTACTGCGACGCGGTGGAGCCGGTGGTGCTGCCGAGCGAGGGCGGCTTCGTGAAATACGAGAGCAGCAAAGCTGGGAAGCGGCTGCAGCGCAGTGAGGGGAGCTTCCAGCGCAACGCCCCGAGCTCAGGTACCGCTTTGGGGTCATCGTGGAGCCATCGGGGCTGGGAAAGACCTCTGGGACCCACCCCGTTGTGCCCAAAGATCCCCACTCCCAAACCATCTCCAACCCATCCCGCCATGGCCAAAGATCCCCAATCCCAATCCATTCCCAACCCCAACCCATCGCACTGTGCCCAAAGATCCCAAATCCCAATCCATCCCCAACCCCAACCCATCCCACCATGCTCAAAGACCCCCAACCCCAATCCACCCACTGTGCCCAAACATCCCCAATCCATCCCCATCCCATCCCACAGTGCCCAAAGACCCCGAATCCCAATCCATTCCTAACCCATCCCACTGTGCCCAAAGATCCCAAATCCCAATCCATCCCCAACCCCAACCCATCCCACCATGCTCAAAGATCCCCAATCCATCCCCATCCCATCCCACAGTGCCCAAAGACCCCGAATCCATTCCCAACCCCAACCCATCCCACTGTGCCCCAAGACCCTGAATCCCAATCCATTCCCAACCCATCCCACTGTGTCCAAAGATTCCCAATCCCAATCCATCCCCATCCCCAACCCATCTCGCCATGGCCAAAGATCTCCAATCCTATGGGGTTGATTGGCTATGGGGTGGGATGGCTATAGGTTGGGTTGGCTGTGGGATTGATTGGCTATAGGTTGGGTTGGCCATGGGGTCGGTTTCTATGGGGTCAATTGGCTATAGGTTGGGTTGGCTATGGGGTTGATTGGCTATAGGTTGGGTTGGCTATGGGGTTGATTGGCTGTAGGGTCGGTTGGCTATGGGTTGGGTTGGCTGTGGGGTCGGTTTCTATGGGGTCAATTGGCTATAGGTTGGGTTGGCTATGGGGTTGATTGGCTATAGGATGCGTTGGCTATGGGGTTGATTGGCTGTAGGGTCGGTTGGCTATAGGTTGGGTTGGCTGTGGGGTCGGCTGTGGGGTGGGATGGCTATGGGATCTGTTGGCTGTAGAGTTGATTGGCTGTAGGATGGGTTAGCTGTGGGCTGGGTTGGCTGTGGGGTCAGATGGCTGTGGGGTTGGGTGGCTGTGGGGTCGGATGTCTATGGGATCAGTTGGCTGTGGGGTTGATTCGCTATAGGATGGGCTGGCTATGGGGTCGGTTGGCTATGGGGTTAATTGGCTATAGGTTGGGTTGGCTATGGGGTCAGTTGGGTATAGGTTGGGTTGGTTATGGGGTCAGTTGGTTATGGGGTGGGATGGCTATGGGGTTGATTGGCTATAGGTTGGGTTGGCTGTGGGGTTGATTGGCTATGGGGTTGGGTTGGCTATGGGGTCACTTTGCTATGGGGTCGATTGACTATGGGGTGGGATGGCTATAGGGTGGGATGGCTATGGGATTGATTGGCTATCGGTTGGGTTGGCTATGGGGTTGGTTGGTTATGGGGTGGGATGGCTACGGGGTCGGTTGGCTGTGAGGTTGATTGGCTACGGGGTGGGATGGCTATGGGATCAGTTGGCTGTCAGGTTGATTCCCTATAGGATTGGTTGGCTATGGGGTCAGTTGGTTATGGGGTGGGATGGCTACGGGGTCGGTTGGCTGTGGGGTTGGTTGGCTATAGGATGGGTTGGATATGGGGTCGGTTGGTTATGGGGTGGGATGGCTATAGGGTGGGTTAACTATGGGATTGATTGGCTATCGGTTGGGTTGGCCATGGGGTTGGTTGGTTATGGGGTGGGATGGCTACGGGGTCGGTTGGCTGTGGGGTTGATTGGCTATAGGATGGGCTGGCTATGGGGTGGGTTGGCAGAGTGGGGACCCTTCAGCACAGCCGTGCTGCCCCACAGATGTGCTGCTGACTCTCGACGTCTCCACGCGGTTCCAACGGGTGAAAGGTTTTGGGGGGTCTCTGTCCGATGCTGCTGCCCTCAACATCCTGGGGCTGCCCCAGCCGGCTCAGGAAATGCTCCTCCGCTCCTACTTCTCCGACAGCGGTCAGTGCTGATGTGGGGCCGGCCCTCCAGCATCCCTCCAGCATCCCAATCGTCCCTCCAGCATCCCTCCAGCATCCCTCCAACATCCCAAACATCCCTCCAGCATCCCAAACATCCCTC